CGAACACACCTCTTTGTCCAAGTTATCTTCTAGAAGAACAGGTCTTATCTCATAAAATCTGGGTCTAAAACTATGACACTTGGTTGTGACACATTCTTCAGCTAGCAAATGAACTTTTATGCTTGAGTGTGATAGGCCCTCATCTTCTTCACCATTAGCAGCATAATACAAAGGTTCATGATGGTCTGTAGAGCCTTTATCATCCAGCAATCTTGAGCTGGGTGCTGTACAACTCTGAAATAGGTTATGTTGAACCTAACAGGGAGAGTAAGGTCACAATAATAAGAGAGAGTACATGTAGGCTATTGAAAAGGGATGTTATCTGCATTGGTGTAATGAACTCTGACGCTAACAAAAAATTACCTTTGTCCTTAAAGACATTTTCTTGGTCTGCATGTACATGTACAACCATAACACAATATGCATCTTCCACTGCGTAACTTGACTATTATTAGTCAACCCAGAACTCATGTGTTACGGCACATATACATGATTTTCTACAGTGCTTGTTTAAGAGACAGTAGATAGATTATTTTAACCACAGACCTGTTTGAAGAGCTCTTCTGGTGGTGTTGACAAATGGTGAAGAAAGTAGTCCAACAGCAACAAAAGGTGATTCAGTGCCATGGGAGTGGAGTGTAGTACAGATGCTGAGTTAGCAACTGTTATGATTACCCTTGCACAATACGTCAGAAGTCTTTTACGCTGAGTCACAGGGAAGTTGTGAAAAATAAACAGCAAAAGCTGTAGATGTTCTACATTCAAATCTAAAAGAAAACAAATTAAAACAATTTAAAAAAAAAATACCACCTTACATGTACAATGCATTTCCACTGAACCCACACACAAAAAATGATTACAACATGTAATCTTGGCCTTGTAATCACTACAAAGAAAATTTTTCACAAACAATTTCAACTCCCTTGATTGGTCAGAGCCATTCAAATCAAGCACAACAAAAATGTTAACTGGTGGTAAGACTGATATGACAATGGTGCTAATAAAGATGAACTACTACAAACCTTGCGTGACAGGAACAGCCTCTTCCATGAGACAATGATCTCCAAGTGTGTCTATGAGCCTGTTCCACACTTTAACACATTCAGCAATGTCCATTCCTGTGTTTGTTTGTAACCCCTTCTGTTGGCGGGCCAGTAACACTCTGGCGAGGATGGAAAGACAACGCTGGCTTACCTTCAGTGGCCAAGGTCCATCATCCAGTGGGGCCAGGCCAAGATGACTCAGAAATACATCCTTAAGGTAATCAGAAGAGTCAAAAATAACATTTAACCCAAAAACTCTCAAGCACAACCAAAGTTTTAAATTTATTTAGACAGCATCCTGAAAAAAGAGTGCCCTAAGCTGTATTTCTACATTTGTACATTAAATACTGTATAAAATGATTAAATTGTGAGCTCAAGATTTATCATAGAAAAATCTAGTTGTTTTAGTATAAATCTATTAGTCATTCAGAACTTAAATCTAAATCCTCTAGTAGACACAGACACTTTGAAAATACAAAGAAGTGGCTGCCAGTTTGTTAATAAGCACACAACAGAGTAGATAGTGACTAGCATAGCCAACCAGAGAATGGCATTCACAAAAGAACACTAGTAGATTTATATTAAGACAGTAAGACAGTAATTTAAGCGATAGCCTTTACCTGTTGCTTATTTGATAATAAGTCTGAAACTAAGAGCAAGTGAACAGCCTGATCAACTGCACCACAGAGCTTATCCATATCAACATAACTGGACATGCTGGTGAAAGTAAGTTGGTCCAGATCTTTTACAACTCCCACAAGACCAGATATGTGTTCTTCTGTGAAGGAGCAGCTGATGTATTCTATCATTTCTGGAACAGTGCTACTCAGAAGGTGCTTGGTTAAGAATTGTAGGGTACATGTTGCCAAGTAGATGTACTGCAAAGATAGAAACTTAAAATAAAGCATAATTCCTGGTTTCATTGTTACCAGCCTGCCTGTTGTAGGGAAATTTTGATTGCATGTGTGTCTACATAACTACCCTGCTACAATGTACTAATAAATCTACTCTGTGACAAGAGAAGGGGAAATACTTTTACACCAGAATATTTGATTATATTGTCTGACCCCATGCAGGTCTTCTTTATAATGATACCCAACTATAACATAGTTTGGCACATGGGTCTTCCCATGCAGGGCTAAAAAAAAACTTGAATTCCAGCTTGCCTTTGGGACAGGTAGCTCTCAAACTCTCACGTCTTAGTTTTCCCTTTTAATGATTTAGTCTGGAGATGACTTGCCTGAGCCCTTGTCCATTGGGCAAGTGAGAAATAAAAAGCCACTTGCCCAGAAGGAAAATCTACTTGTCCAGGAGAATGGGACAGCACCTTTTTTAAGCCCTACCCATGAAGAGAAAGGGTGTGCCTATCCAGACCCTTGTAGTGGAATTTAACATGCATTTGCCAAATTAATCAACTGAGCTTTCATAGTCCATTATTGTAGTTGATCATTACAATTAAATTTGTCAGATGAATATATTCAGGACAGGTTGTTGACAGTAATTTACCTTTGGGTTGTCATGAAATGCATTGTCTATAGACACACAATATAAAGCAGCTCAAGATTCCTTCTACCTCTCAAATGTAGTGGTCAATAATATGGTCAAGAGTGAATGTAAAATGAGTGTGTATGAGCATGTGTTTGCTGACCTCCTCTGGAGCCATCTGGAATGACCGTCCAGATGGGGTCGATTCTGTCCCACTGTCCCCCACATCTCCACTTTCTGACTTCTTCCTTGGTGGGACTTGAGGACTTGAGGTTGTGACAACTGGCATTGATGATAATGTGTCCTGAAACCACTGACCAAGCAATGACTCCTCATCTAAATCAAGGAATGGACAAAATTAATTATCTCTGATGTTAGTTTCTTGAAATTCTTGCATTCTGCTTAAGTGCAGTTTCAATGTAACTTAGCTATTTTATTGCCGGTATCTATAGATACAAGTACACTGTACACAAGAAGGGAAACTGGGGACTCATCTGATTAGTCTCACAAAATTTCAGTCAAAAAAATAGTCTATTGCCCCATATGTGTATCAAGTTTCAAGACAAGCTATTCACATTTGGAGGTGAACCATATAAGTTGACTTATTGTGCAGTTCCAGAAATTATCCAAACCCACCGCAAGGAAGACCATTTAAAATTTTGAGGGGGAGGGAGTCTCTAAGAGCCGAAGATTTTAAAGGATAGTATGGAGCTAAAATTGAAATTTCCAGAGAGATTGGAAGGAGGTGTGTTAGACCAAAAATCCTTCGTGAGGCTATGGATGACTTTCTAAGAGGAAGGTGCAGATATTTTCTGCAATAACAAATTCCTTCTAGTTCTTTTTGACTGGTAATGTACACATACAATTTCCTTCATAATTCAAATTTCTAAAGTGACCAAAATGATGTGATAGTACTAATTAAGTTAAAAACAGTTCCTTGTCAAGATACAATTTACCTTCACTACTCCCATCAGAGTAAGAGATGTATTCACTGTCCCCTTCATCTGATGATGTCGCTGGAGATTTTGAACTATCAGATTTTCCTGAACTGGGCCGGGGAGATTCTGGCCCAGCTGACACTGTGGGGGTGATCATGGCAGTTGCCTAGGAAAAGAATAGAGACTTCAGTGCGTAAAAACAGTACAATCTACACATAAGTGGTTATTTATGCGTGTTCCTGCCCTTACATATGTGAGCTTCCTTTTACAACCTTTACATGTTGTAGATGCTGAAAAAGAAAGTACAGGTCTTACCATTTTGTACAGTGTAGAGAACTGAGCAAACAAGTAATTCATGAGGGGCAAGTCATCCATCAGCTTCTTCACTCTCCTCCATGCCGAGCAGCGAGAATTGACAGAGAAGTCGGATCCCACAGAGGCTGGTTCATCTTCAGCATGAGTAAGGAGTCCTTCTACCTGAAGCTCTTCCAACAATGATGACAAAAGAGTGATTGCACGCGAGGCAAGTGCCACCACTAATGTGTTCACACCTTGCAACCTGCCACAAAGATGAACCGTAGGTCAGACTTAATTAAGTCAGCAACTGTTACAGCAGTGTTGTACATGTATAACAAGCACAAAACATTACCCATGTCTGCAACCATTATCCCACTTCTATGCAAACTTACAGTAGAAGTCTGTGCATAAGTCAAGGGATGAAGAGGATACAGAAATTTATCATGAACTAAAAGAAAGGATTTTTTTCCTTGATGCACTATACCAATTGATATACAGAAAACATGTTTCACTCACTGAAAGTGGTGTGGTCATGGAGATCTGTATTCAATTCACAAGCATGTCGAATACCACTGAAAACTGATTGCAATTGAGTTCATAATTTAGTTGGTATCTCTACTACTACTACTACTACTACTACTACTACTACTACTACTACTACTGCTACTGCTACTGCTACTGCTACTGCTACTGCTACTGCTACTGCTACTGCTACTGCTACTACTACCACTAATAATAATAATAATAATAATAATAATAATAACAATAATAATAAAGTTGTTTGGGCACATTTAAAAAAAACTCAATGCGCTTACATTACTATAAAAAATAATGTGACTGCATGGTTATATGGCACTAACCATTTAAACTTAAAAGCAGCACTCTCTCTGGACAAACTGTCCTCAGGAGTTAGTCCCAAGACTGGAAGCAGGCCGTGTATTATTCTGTGAGCTGCCAACATGTGAATGTTTTGTAACACCTGCCCTCCTGCTCTAGATGATGATTGTATCACTCCACAGATCACATCAAACACATTAATCTACCAAAAAAAAAAATCAAACATTTAATTCCTTTTAGCACATCTATACACACTGCAGCTTTGGGTTAGCATGTACATGTCTATTGTTCTGCTTAGAATGGTGTTTTCTTTATTAACAAAGGTAAAATACACTTTTGAATGCATGTATTTATGCAAGGGCTGGAATTAAAACCTAATTCAATATGGAAAATTTATTAGGACTATACTGCTGATTTCAGGGCATATTCATGTACATGTACAGTATACTGCAGATTTCAACTCACTGAAAGTATATTAATTTGCAATGTGCAATTACAAACTCCACATCCACAAATGACACATTGCAACTTACACTGTTCTCTACAATACTTTGAGCACATTTTTCCAGACTTTCCTCATCACCAGATATTTTGCCGACAGATTTAGCTCCTGAAGCCTTTGACAAGGAAGACCTTCCAAGCAATGTCTTCACTGACAGTGGACGACTCAACCCTGTTGTTCCTACAAAAACCATACATGTAGGTAACTGGGTTTAGCCAATCTTCTAAGATCATGCACTTCAACTGTATTACGTGTAATAAAGTAACATTTTACATGTACAAATATATCGCACAATATCTTACATTGTAAAACCTACAAGTACGGGTTGTCACAGTATCATTGTCACAAAGTCACTAGCCTGCCAGATATTTATTCTAAAGTAAATGGTGTACTTGTGTTCACCTGCGGCACCTGCAATGTTGAAATTGCCAGTAGCAATTGTGAGGGCAACATCCAAACAGCCTAATGCCAGCTGACAGACCTTCTCCACCCGACTTGCTGAGAGTGGTTCCAATATTGGGATGGATATTATGCTTGAAACAACTAACAACTCAGAAGACAATCCCTGGACACTAAAACGAAAAAAGAAGTATACAGGATTAAGGATCTGATCCGCAATACATGTACATGTGTACTTGTAGAAGACTAATTTTAAACAGAATGCAAAATAATTTCAAAATTGTGACAGAGACAAACATGTCTGTTTAAAAGTCTACTAAATCTATGTTTACATTTTAATGTGAGTATCTAGAAAAACATTATACATGTACAAATAACAATGGCCTTGGATAATTTTATTTGTAAATACAATGGCAGGCTAGAATTTGCCTCTGAAGTAGACTGTAACAAAACAAACTCAAGAAAAGTTCATGTTAAAAAGGTTACTGCAATGCCCACCTTGAGGAAGTTAAACTCATCAATGAGGAAGATGTAGCTTGTTGAGGTGTAATAATCTTGGAAAATTCAGGCAAGGAAAGACACAGGTCTAACAAGACTCTTCCACCTCCAAGCTGTCTGAGGGCTGCAACATTGCAGTTGGAAAAGAAGCTCTTCACATCTGTGCTACTGGTATCAGAAGACAAAGTCTTCTCATTTTCTGCCCTGTAAATAGAGAAAGAAATGTAACAAGAAGTCTTAGACTAACAAGGATGGCAGATATTCTTTCAAAGGAGAGACAAATCTACCAGTAAGTCTTTCTTAAATTCCCGCAAGCTGATACTGAAATGAACAGGAACTTCAGAGGAACATTGCCACATGGACAGGAACATTGAAACCCTTGGATGGGAAGCTGGACAATTACACATTACCCTCTAACATCTTATCAGAGACTTTAATATTCATAGCTGGAGAGAGGGATTGTGGACTTAAACTGTCTTGTTCAAGAACAAAATACAAGAACCCTGCTGGGACTTGAATATGTACGTGTATCTCACAATCTTGGGTCTACCTAAACCACTAGGCCTGTACTCTTCTGGATCTCACAAAGCTGCACATCACTGTCATTTACACAAGTCTTGTTACAATGTAGAACCATAACTTGATTTTGTATCAAAACAAAACTCGGTCTAATATGCTAAAATAAAGTACAGTGCATCTCAGTTACATGTACAAAACAAAATTTGAAAAAAATAATTAACTGGGAACAATCGTTAAAATATTCCATATACGTGTACATAATGGAAATCAAAATACCTGGTTTTGTCTTTGATGAAGCTTGAAGAATCATCTCCAGTCTCAGTAAATGCTGTTTGAAGGCGTTGAAAGAAGTCCTCACCCTGACTGAGGGAGAGATCTTTCGGTTGTTCCGATGGCGCACTGACTGTATCCTTTAGCACACTAGCTGATTTCAAGATGGCTGTCAAAGTTATAATTTCTGTTCTTTTTAGACATCCATGTCCTTTGCAAAGTCCTTCAATTATGGATACCAGCTGTTTCTATGTATTTGAAAATTGAAATGACATGTATTTTAGTGTGTGAAGTGACATCACATTAATTTAGTACATAAATTGTATAAGTTCCCTCCCTCTTTGCTCTACAACTAAAATATCAAGCTTAAAAATTTCAGTCTGAAACCTTGACTTGTAGGTCACCAAGTAGGAGACCCTTCTCTGAGGGGAGACAAAATTTTGTCCTGGCAAAATGCAAGCCCCCATAAATATTCATACGTATCTACATAATGTGTATTCACCTCTATCGTGGTATGTACAGATGCCAAACCTTTTCTTGTCTCCATCAGAATTTTCAGGTCAAATTTGTTTAGGGACAGAACAATGTATATTGTTGTGCACACATGTAGGGGAGTGGAAACTACAGAATACTCGATTACCCATTGAAGGGAGGACTAGCTACATACACTGTCTTCAGTTGACTGTATCAGAGTGGATTCTTTTATATAAATAAAGAGAAACTCAGTTTCCAAATTTGCTTCCCAGAAATTTCAGGATTTATTCAAAAAGTTAAATGTAATTCAAGTTATTTTCAGAGTACCTTAACCAATGGCTCATTTGAATCTCTTTTCTTCTCTAATTCCAGAAGAGCAAATTTCAGGAGCACTTTACAGGCTTTCACAATTATTTGCAAGTTGGCACCACCTGTAAATGTGTTTCAAATAAGTCAACAGACATTTTACAAAACCTGCAAATACAGAGTACACATGTACATGCGTGTGTATACCGGAAGATAAGGATTTCACTTTCATTCAATGATTGTGCAAGGGCAGAGCTTGAAATATATTATGCAACAGAGTCATTTCTAATAACAATTGTACAATTGATGGCCAAAGCTAGTCAATTGATTTTCACTTCAAGCAGTAATGTTTCACGGAATTGACTTTCCCGATTTCTTAGCAAAACGCTGAGTCATGATAACCAAAATGGTGATGGCAAGCATTTTCCTGGGAGCCATCTCTTGCCTGATTCCAACAATATCCACATGGACTTTTTTATAATCTTGGGGAGAACTCATAAACACAAAAGAATCCTATATTATTCCTTTGCATAGCCAGAGACTTCAAAGCTCAAGGAAAAGTAAATTGAGCAACAAGAGCACTTACACTGAGTAACATTTAATCCAATGTAATGAGCTGACAGAGCCACAAATGAACGAAAGAACCCATCACGATCCTCTCCTTCAAGTATAACATTTTCACTAGAAAATGAGAAAAAGTATAATTAAGGAGGAAGTCAGTCTCATTAGTCATTGATTTCTTTGTCCTATAATTATCATACTAAGTACATAGTGTAACTTACACTTCTTAATCTTTTTAATTATTAGAAACTAGTAAATACATTTTTGTGCAGATGTATGTTGACATTTTTGACACAGTCATCCTGACATCAACCTCCCATATCGAAAGTTTCCGATAAAATGCTTCTTAAGTTATTTTACTTGCCGGACAAAAGAAGTTACAAAGCTTATAAAAAAAGCTTTAAGTGGCAAGGAGACCAACAAGAAATTAGAAGGTTCTCAGTTGCCATAAACAAGCGCAAATGTACGGACTTCTCTTAATCAATAACAACAAGCTTTACTTCGTGTTGGCCTTGCATGTGCTACTGTACAATGTAAGCTCCTCGCTATTTGAGTTACACTCGCTATAAAATTACTTTACTGTGCTAAGTAACCCTAATAACCACCGTGAATTGCCGAATACTAAAAGAATTGAAAGGCATGCAGTGATTAAGCCCAGCGTAAGGACAGCTTACTCCAAAACATTGAAAGGCCAAGCTCAGCTGTCTGCAACCACTTTCGCTTTCAAAAGTATTGACGATGCTTTATGTCACGGAATTTTCTAACACATGCCACCAACACTTGGCCAGTGAATAAGCAAATATATCACTTACCTTTTGGTAATAACTGTACATAACGGAGGAATATGTGTTTTGGAAAATGATGAGATTATCGCAAGAAGGTGTTCGACACCTTCCTGTAACGCAGCCATCTTGGCTGCTAATTTCCTTCCCCTAATGCATTGCACTGCCTTATTAGTTACCAGTCCTAACACCTGGCGAAACGCGCGCGGCCAATAAATTACTCCCACGATCTGAGGACGGCTACAAACAACTTGGGAGAAACTCCAAGCCGTTTTCGCTTGAAACAAACCTGGTTAATACCGACACCAAAGAGACATGCAAAAGAATGAACGTCATAGACGTTTTCTTCTTTTCTATTTTTTTAATCCATGTAAAGACTAAGGATAAGCACAGTAACTTTAACTTGAGTTCAAACTCAAGAATCAGTGTGCTCATTTAAATACGTGGCAGCTTAAAGTGCACCTAACCCCAAAAATTTTTTTTCGCTAGAACGAATCTACTTATTANTTAAACACTCCGAAGAAGGCAGTAATGCCGAAAGATCGGTTGATTTGTACCGCCATTAAGCGTCCTTTTAACAATACTTTTAACATTTACTTGCTCATTTAAATAGTCAAATGTCTCGCACCAAAATTAATGTTGTCTTGAAGGTTCAAAAGCAGCAAAATCATAATTTATGGAGTCCACAGCTTTAACAAAATCGGCACACTTTTTAATTTATAACCTGCAGAAAATTTTGTCTTCGAACAGGTAACGATTACAAAATGATCGAGAAAAATAGAAATCTATAGCCTGCAGGTAACTCGAGTCCGTAAAGCGAAAATTTAGTTTTTTTAGTACTCTTATCAGTACTAAAATTTTATATACGATAGACGGCAAGAAAAGGTTTCTGATTCGCTCCCGTTAGAACTAGTGAGAAATTGCCAACTCTTTGACCAAAGCTTAGGCTGCTATCGTTTATGAACTGTATTGTATTCTTTACCTGACCTAACTTGGCTGAAAATTATGTCAAGTCGTGTGAAATTAATCTTATAGGTAGAGACAAGAAAGCTGACTTCTCTCGCGAAAGGATCGATTAACCTAAAATCTCTTGATTTTTTAAAGACAAAAATCAAATATTTGTTAATTTTTTCTTGTAACTTCGACTTGTACCAAAAAATTTCAACCATGAAAATTTATGAATGAATGAATGAATGCATGCATGCATGCATGCATGCATGAATGAATGAATGAATGAATGAATGAATGAATGAATGAATGAAAGACTTTATCTCAGTGTCAATGGTATTTGGCTTAAAGAAACTAATTGGGGACACTATTTACATATCAAAATATACCTTAGCTATGCTGGTTTTTCTAATTATGCTCGCAGGTGGCTTCATTGCACTCGCGGTTAATTTGTATTGTTAATGCATGAACATAGGTATTGGGGGCTTTGAAGAACAAGTTCGACCTCCGACTGAACTAGCCCCAAAACAGGAACTTTAGTGTAGGTTCTAAGCAAGGTCAGCACGGCAAACACAAGCATGACCACCCATGATATGGAGGTTATTGTTTGATTATTGAGACCTATCAACGGTCAAGGACAAACAAGTTGAGGACGACTGAAAGCCATGAGACGGGCAAGCTACAATTGTAGACTTGCGGGCACGTGGATGACAAGACTCGTGCAATGACTACGAAGCTTAAAATTTTCGGTAAGAATTTTATGTCAGAAACACATTTATAATAATAATAATAATAATAATAATTTAATAATAATAATGATAATGACACTGATAATGACTTTGCTAACGCGTCAAGAAATATATCTAAAATACAAATGGGTCAATTCAAAATCGAGTAGTGACGTAACTTGTTCTTAGCTTTATATACTTTTTTTTAGGAACTCAATAGTTCTTGAATTAAATGAGGTAATGCACATGGCCTTGAGATTATCGACAGTAGCTGTTTATCTATACTTGATATCCTTATGTTAAAGCCGCTGGTCAACGCAAGTCACAATCATCAAATTAAAGCAAAGCTCTTAAACGTCACACATTTGACAAGTTCATAGTTAACAACCCGGATGTTTGCGTCAAAAGATGTCAGAATGAGCCAAGATGTCAGAGCATCAACTATGTCATGGAAGATAATATCTGCGAGCTTTATAACCGAAGTAAGGAAGTAAGACCTGAAGATTATGTGTCAGATCGAGGAAGGATTTACATGACCATTACCTTTAATAAAGGTGAGTGTTCACAACGAGAGTTGTGAGACAACATGAGTTAACATGAATCAGTTATGTCATTTTTGAGAATTTAGTTGTAATCAGGAGACCACTCTTCTTGAAAAAAAATAAAGAACTGAGATGATCATTCCCGCAAATCAAAAGTTAATAGAGTTTTTATCATTATTATTCTGATTATTATTATTGCTATTATTATTATTATTATTATTATTATTATTATTATTATTAACCATTACTATTATTTTCCTTATGGGTGTGCGATGTTAGCTGTAGAGAAGTGAAAGAACGATGAAAAATAATTACATTTTTTTCAAGAAAACTTTATTACACAATACTTTTTAAGTCTTAACACTCTTAAAAATGAAGTTTTTCTCGGTGTTTAATTTTTAAACATGAATTTGCTCATTAGCAAATGTAAGCTTAGTTTTTTAACGCCAGTTCTCACGGTTGTTTGTTACCCTGCAACTTAGTATTAGCATGTGTTTTACTTCATCGCTTTATTTGCGCCCAGTCCCCCTCGGAACTACACCTGAGGTGCCATCCGAATCTTGGCGGAAATCAAGACTGTCCAAGGAGAAGGAGCGGTCAGCGATGATTACTGGTTGGACCTTCAAAACACTGGAAAGGCCATTCAGATCTTTTGTTTGGGGGCGAAAGGTCCTTTTAATTTTGCATTGGATTTTATATGTAATGAAAGGGAAGTAAATTTTGGCATACACCGGCAGACTTGACGCAAAGTTGATCCCGGTTTTCGGAGCATGAAGCGACCAGGAGTATTGCTACCCTTTCCCCCCGGATGGGATGGTAGACTTCCCAGTATTCTGTTATTTATTTCCCTGGGTGGAAAGAGGAACTACGAGGTTGAAATGGCTTGTCCAAGCTACGAAGAAAACACAACAACTCCGAGCCACCTAAGCGTAGCCCTTCAAATTCATCAAACTCTGAATATTTTTGGTGCTAAGTTCTCCGTGGGCATGTTTGTCAACTGATGTATGTCCGCTTATTAAAGGTTCTACTGTACACTTAGAAATAAGTGCAAACTTCCCATCATCAGCTTGAAATGTTCATTTTTGCAGGCTCTCCCTTTCACTGGGCGCTCAGTGGCTCGGACAAAGAGCTAAAGTAAGAAAATTATTTTCTCACATCTGTGTGACGACTACGCATAACTTGACTAAAGTAATTTTTGGCTGAAGCTCAGACATTTATACAGAATATCCGCCCCAAATGTCGCTAAAACTATCATTTTGTGTTCCCTCACGAGCTGAGCTAAGAGCAACTTTTGTTGTTTACAACTGTTATTTACAATTGTAATTTACACTTGCATCCTGAGTCGGGATGTATCTGTAATGAATTACGGAAATTTTTGTTTCTGAATTGTATTTACAACTGGGAACTTAACACGTGTAAATTACAATTGTAAAAACTGCAAGTGTGATTGCTTTATTAAATTAACCCCTCATTTCGTCATGAAATTACAAAACAAGAGTGGTATTTGTAGCCTTAGTCTTCTCAATAATAGATCAATAATTAATTTTCGCCGTTTGACCTCTTCAATGCTGGGCGGTTTCCCCAACGTAACAGGTATTACAGCCCACACGCAAAAATATATCAACAACACACGAACGGAGCGCGCCAGCGAATCCTTTTTCGTGCCTCCTTTTCAAGCGCTATTGTGACAACTTAAATATCAAATTAGTCTTTTCGTCACCTGTTTTTAATTTCTCAAGCACTTGTATTAAAGATTCTAAACAATGCCTTAGTGTATAATGTTCGCATACTTGTTTCATTTTCTGTTTTCAGCTCAAGATAAAGTAGGCCGATGAAGTATGATCTCTGAAAAAGATGTCTTTTAGTATCAAATCTGTCGTCGTTTTTCGTAAACTGATTAATCATTCATTATATGACTAAGAAAATCACGAAAGCGCCTGTGTTAAGTTCTCCGCAGCGTAAATTCAAAATTAGCGATGAATTTGCCTGCTTTCAGCCAATTACAATGTGGTGATTTCCCTGCCACATCGAGCTATTTCTTAAGCTTACCTAACGCGGTTGGATCGACGAAGATAAGAAACAGGTAAGAAGTTATGTCAAAGGACATTTTAAAATTAAATTTTTCACAGTAATGGAAAAGGAAAACTTTGAGAATCGTCCCCTGCCATAGAAAAAAATTAGCAAGCCTGTTTCCCTAAAGAATGACTATTTGTTAATTAGTCGCTTCATCATGAATTTGATTCAAATTTGTTTTGCTACTATTCCAGTCCTGTCAAATACTCCTTTGTTTCAAATTGACTGACATGGTAAAGTTAAAAAAGTTGACCTAACACAGTTAGATTTGGGACGGGGAGCAAAGTGGAATGGTAAAAATATATAGAATTTTGTCACAGTTTCATACAAACCTATAAGCTGGTCTTCGCCTCCTTCTATTGCAGGTGTTTTCATCCACTACCATCTATTTAACTCTTTTTTAACAAAGCGAAATCAAGACGAACACTATATCTGAAAGGTAATCAAGAAAACTGAGTGTGAATTATAACACGTACACTGGCCTACACAGGGAAACGTTGACTGAATATTTATTTGGATGACACCAAGAAACTTTGGTTTTAACATTAGGTGTGGAACTCAAATTTGCCCTGAAGATAATACAGAAGACAATAGTTGACACTTCGGCTACCACAGATGTTAAAAAACTTCTGGCTCTGCATTCTGTCCTCGACGCCCATTCTGTGACAGTGGTTCCAGCCTGTTTGAGCCTGTTTTCGTCAAGGTACTTAATGAATAGGTAACAAAGCGATGAGAACGAGGATGTTCTCGGCTAATTATTTCACATTGCAGCAAGCGCTAATTTTTACACTGTACGCGAATCAAAGCTAAGCACTTTATTTGATGCAGGTTTCCGGCATTACAAAAATCATTAAAAAAGTGTTAAGCAATATTTTGTGTAGTTTTTTTATTGAAATGCAAATAATAAGACTACTTTTGGTGAATTAATGGTATGGAATCCTTCGGAACTCTTCAAAGACCTTTTCTTGGATTCAGCC